CTTTTCTTTCCGTCTTTCCCTCCCTCCCTCTTGCTTCTGCCTGCCTTCCGGTTCCCGGTTCCCCATTGGCATGTAGCTCCCCGACCTCTCCGCATACACACATACTCCCCTCCTCCACTCCTACGGGCAAGAAAAGGGGGCTCAGCTTTGGCTCCCACTTCTGTCCCTTACCCCACTTCCCTGCTCTGTACCTTCTGTAATTCATATGCAGTAGAGTGTAAGGACTATGGGAGACAATTGTAGGTTTAGATCCCGACCCTATCACTTTCTAGCTACGCTGACCTCATCCACATGGTTTAACTGTTCTCTGCCACTGTTGCCTCATGAAAATTGGGGTACTGATCAGACTTACCTCAAAGAGTTGCTGTATTAAGTCATTCAACACACATGAAGCATTTAGAGCAGTGCCTGGCACACAGAAAGTGCGCAATAAATGTTCCCATTACTATTATTAGGAGACAATTGGGTGGTACTGGCCCTTTCTTGGATCTGTGAATTAAGTAGGGTTTTGTTACTTACCTGAAGTTGGAAGGATGGAAAGAAAACAAAACATTACCCAACTCCTTTTTCTGCCTGTGCATTGTGGTCATTCATTAACTGAACCCACACTTGTTGAGCACCTACTATGCACTAGATTAGTGGTTCTCAAAGTGTGAACCCCCCAGCTCAGCAGCACCACCATCACCTGGGGCCTTATGAGAAATGCAAGTCCTCACCATCCTGTATCCCACCCCCCACGCCTATCCTTCTCCCCAGACGATGCTCTGAACCAGAAGCTCTGAAGGCGGGGCCAAGCAGCCTGTGTTTTAACAAACCCTGCAGGTGTTTCCGATGTGCTAGTATGAGAACCACTGCCCTGGATGTAAAGCATAGTCACTCTGCTAAGCACTGGGAATATAAACATGAACAAGACCCTGACCCTGACCTTCAGGAACATACAGTCTACCGGGAGAGACAGATGTGTAAAAAGAGTAACCAAGGATTCTGAGGGGTACAGTGGAAACACAGAGCCACCAAAGAGGGGGTGGCCCAGTTTGCATTTTGGGAGGAGGGTTTGGAAAGAATTCCCGAAGGAGTGATGCTTGAACTAAGTCTTAGAAAAAGAGGAGAACTTTTTCTAATCATAGGTGGGGAGGAGGGAGGAGACGTTCCGTGGAGAGGAGCACGTGTGCATTTGGTCATGGGTGGGCCTACACGCGGACCTCACCTTTAAAACTCCCCTAGAGAAGAGGGGTTTGTGTTCACTGTCAGATCCCCGGTGCCTAGAACGTGTCGTGGCCTCCAGGGGCACCAGTAGATATTTGAATGATTGGACACAAAGGTCCTAAATGCCCACATATTTAATTTTCACTGAATCATTTCTTTTCAGCAGAAGATATTAAAAGAAACAAACCTAATTGTGAGTTTTCTGCGTTACATCATTACATTCCTGAAAGAAATTAGCCATCACTTAACGAGCTATGTCTTAAAGCATGGGTTGGCAGTGTGAGACATATTAACCTCTAAATCTACGGGGGCAGCTCAGTGAGACCCTGAGAACTTGCTTCATACAAGCTTATCCTGAACCTGCAACTTTATCGAAATGTGCACATTATTGGTGCTCCCTCTAAACACATTGGCCTTTACAATGGAAACCATGGCGGGTTCCTCATTAAAATGTGAAGAACCAACTATCCCAGGCAGCAAATTTCCTTCTGGTTTACTTAAAATCAGCCCTGCATGCAAAATGACTGGGCCTTGTACCTCGGCAGTCATAGCCTCAGAAGCTGCCCTATGCCAGATGCTTGCTCCTCTTTCTTCTGGATGCCAGGGCATGCTTCAGAGCGTCCCAGACTTCCCCAAGGGCACCTCTGCGTCTTCACACTGACCCCACTGACAGGCCTGGTGGCCGATTCAAAAGAAAGGACTTACGCCAAATTAGACCCCAGTATAGAGGTTCCTTCCTTTCAGATTCACTTCTAAGGGAACCATCCTGCGGGATTTCCTCCTAGCGTTCCCCGCTGAACCTAGCCTGGCTTTGTGTTCCCAGCTAATTACATCCCTGGCTAGCTTGTTCTGGCCTCTGATCTGACAAAGCCTTGGAGGAGGGCTGCTCAAACCACTGTCCCTAATCTAGTGGATCAAAGATCATAGGTGTTTCGAAGGACAAAGGGACCTTGGAGATCATGGACACCCCCCACCCCATAGCGCTGTCCACTGTCTTCTACGAACGTGAGCCTTCCAAACATTGGACATGCATACGATGATTGGATATTAAAATGCACAATATTCTTAAAAACCAAAGTTGAAATAGAGTTTCCTTTACTTATCTCCAAATTTGATCTTTTAGATAGAATCGGGATCGAAAATAACTCCCAAAATTCACTTATAAATAAAGTCACATTTTAACTTTTCTGTCCATTTCATCTGAGTTGACTGCTTCGTAGTGATTCTTTCTAGTTAAACCAACCAGCCTTCCCAGTGTAGGAGAACTATTATCACAAGGCAGCTTTGGAGTATGTGTTTTAGAAGCTCGCCAATCACATCGTACCGCAGGTATTCGAGAGGTTCATTACAAGTCACTTCTTCCTGGACCTCAGTTTTCACATCTTTAAAAAGAAGGAATGAGACTACAAGTTAAGATTCTGTCAACTTCAGGTCCTCCCCTTAGAGCTGTATTCAGGTGCTAAGGTCGGGGGGTGAGGACTGAGGGCAGAGAACATACCCAGGCCACCCTCGCTCTGCTTTTTACACACACACACATGCACACACACACACACTCACACTCACACACACACTCACACTCTCACACTCCTTTCTGCACGTGGTTCCTGTCATGACTAGATGCCCTTTGATTCTAGGTGCACATTAGAATTAGCTGTGTTACTAGTGACAAACAAGCAGAGAAAAAAATAATAATACCAAGTAATTTTATAATACCACATGATAAAAAGAGGTTCTTAAATATACTTAAGTTTTGTGTTTTTTTTAACTCTAGGGGAAAAAAGGATATGATTTTGGATAAGAGTTTGTCACTTTTTGGCATCTCATGCTTGCAGATTACTTCATTTGTTCATTGTGCAGGGATTTTATTCATCAGCAAGCACGTTCTCTGTGCCAGTCACTGGGTCACGCACTGGGCTTCCCTTGGAGGGACCATAGCTTGATACGGTTCTTCATTACAATATCTTAAAGCCACATTAAATGACTGAATATAGTCAAGCTAGAAAGAGGACCAGGGCTATGTGAAAACACTCTTGAAATTTCAGACAAGAATTGCCACCTTTCACCTGAAGGTTACCCCCTGCATCCTACTGCTTCTCTCCAAACATGGACAGAGCGTTGAGCTGGATGGCTCTGAACTTGAAGACTTTGTTCTGAAAGTTTATTTTTCTGCTCACCCAGTGAGTGCTTCAGTGTGCTGGGAAAAAATATTTTTCCTTTATCAATCCTTGCCCCAGGAGCAACCTTCCAATTAATATTTGTGGAGAGAATGTATTAGTTAAGTACCTTGTATCTCAAGGATATAGTTGCTCTAAAATAGGCTGACATCATTAGTTTTTACTACTTTGGCTTTGTATGAAAAGAAACATCAAGCCATGTAGCATTTAACACACTAGGAATCCTATCTATTCTTCGCCAGTTTCACCTTTCCTGCTTTACTCTCTTCATTTCTTTAGTGTATCTTGATTATGAAGGGAAAGGCTAGAGGATACCATTTTTATGGGTTAAGCTGACAGACAGTGGTCAGTGTTGAAGGTAGTATTAAATGAATGAGGCCACTGATGGGCAGGACATACATTCTTGGCATTTTGTGTGCATGTAGATTGGGGCTGAGGATCGGGGACAGAGTTCCATAAAGTACTCCAGGTGGTAGAAAAGATTTTGGGAAACCAGTTCATGCAGAAATCAATGAAAACATTGATCCCATATCACTTCATCCTGAGCTGTTGACTTCATTTATCCAAATATTTGATTTGTTTTATTTGACGTTCTGTGCCTTCTATCATTACCACCTCAATGTTTTTCACAAAAATTGCTTTCCAAAGGGTATTTCCAAGTTTAAACTTTAGAAAAATATGAAAATTGAGGTTTGGTGTGCTGGAGAAGAGTGAAAGGAAGTTCCAAGGGCCAGAGAGATTACTGTTGATGGTTTGGGAGAACCTGGCTGCAAAAGGCACTCATAAAAGAGAGAAACATCTACAGAACAGGCTAGTGTTTGTCCAGAGAGGTGTGAAAAGCATCCAAGTAAATAGAAAGATAGCAATTCTTGGTGGTTGAGGCTAATGTGAGTGTGCGACTGTGTCCGTAAACGCTATTGTGTGCTGACGGCAATAGAACCCTTATGAAGATCAGATTGCCATCATTGGCAAAGAAAGAGCCTAAAAATGAGAAAGGAAAAAAAATGGAAATTAGGAACAGTTTTAAGATATACAAATTCAGGAGAGGCATATTGAAATTTTAGGTGGAAAAATAAGTCATGTTCCAGGATTTCCCATTTGCTAGACTTTGTGTAGGAAGAAAATTTAAAGAATATGGGAGTCGTCGCCTTTGTTTTGAAGGAGTAGAAAAGCTAGAAAGCATTTCATCTGCATAAATAAAAATATCTTGATAAGAGAATAATGAGATGTACTTGTTTGTTTTAGATATCTGCAGACAGGTGATATCTGAACTATGATCATAGGTGAAATGTCATACCACATGATTATAGACAGTATGAACACAGAATCACTTTACTACTCAGAAATAGATTTAATAACAAGCAATTTAACTTAATTGTAAAACAATAGTTATCATTTTTCCCCAATCTTAGTCTCCCAATAAAAATTATATATTAAACTACTTAACAGTCCGTATTGTGTTAAATTTGGGACATTAAAGTAACTACTTGCTCTTCGTATATAGCTACTAAATTTGGGGTGCATATGAGAGAATTAATTTATTGCATGATTTAATGAACAGCAATATTTGATAACTGATGCAAAGTAACTCTTAGCTCCTCTTCTGTGCTTCTTTTACAGCTCGGCTCATCCTCTTCTGTGCCTTTTACATCTATTTTTTCTCAGCTTTTTATGACTGTTGTGGTTCCTCTCATCATTGGACAGGTAAGGTCTCCAGTTCTATCTGCTTTATTCTTTATAGGTCAAATTGTGAATTCTTATGAAATGTCAGGACAACTGAGAAAAGAGATAGAGGAAGAGACAGTTAAATGGAAATGTAAGACTGTAAAACACCGGTTTTATCAATCACAATATTCTCATCTTTTTATTTTTATTTTTTTTTAGTTAATAACAATATGATTTACAGATAACTATCTATAGGGACCCTACCCAGAATCTTGATTTTTTTTAAAATTTATTATCCCTTCTTCATAGCTATGTAGCTAGCTTAAAAACATTTAGCAAGCCATTTCCTTAGTCTGCGACTTCCGATAAGGTCTCAGCATTTATGACCATTGCTGGGAACAAGCATCTGTCTGGCTTCTTCATAGACTCCTCCACCAGCAGTTAAGTCTGTGATCAGGTCATTGATAAACATTTAATCCTATTAGCTCTTAAATCGGATCTTAGAAAATTTAGTTTATCATTCTTATTGAATTGAGCTAATTGAATAAATTCTTATATTTTAACTTCTTATAATGAGGTAATAATACACACATAATTTAATTAAAAGCATATACATTTTAAAACAAGGTGGTTTTCTTACTCACAGAATTTAATGTACTCCCCAGTGAGTAAGTTTTGGGGACACTGCATGAGGATGATTAAGAGCACAGGTGTGGGTTTAAGAGCAACTAGACCGCAGACTTAGTTCTACCTTTTATTTGCTGTGTGACCTTTAGCAAGTCATTTGACCTCCTTAGCTACAGGTTTATAATTTATTAAATAGTATGACCATAATACCCACCTTATAAAGGGTTATTGTGAGGATTAAACAAAATACAGGTGGGTATAAAGTTTTTGTCGTCACAGAGCCTGACACAGGTAAGTGCTCCGTAGCTTCTATGATCACCATCATTATCAAATTCCCTACAAATACTAAACAGAAGGCAACTCTTTGAAATATTAAACTATAAAAATTATATATATATATATATATATGATATTTACATGCTGTCTTAGGTGCCCTGAGTAGTGGACTCTGAGACAGCTTTCCACGAGGGAAGGTTATTGGGGAGCACCCTTAGGCTCAGCGCCTTTGGGAGAGTGAAGAAGGAAGGTGGGGCTGAGGGAGATGATGAACTGCGATGCAGGCCTGCAAAGGCCTCACCAGATCCCAGGGGGCGCTCGGGAGCTAGAATGACCACTCAGACTTGTCCCGCCTAGGACAAGAATGGCTGGTCTTTATACTCCTGCACTGACCGGTCATTAGATGCTGCCTTCTCTCCCATTCCCCATGACAGGTGTGACCTTGGGTGAGTCCGCTGTCTTAGCAGAATTCCCAAAGAGGAACTCAGCTGAGATCTTCCACCCAACCAACATGCCCGACAGCTGTGGCGATAAGCAGCACCTGGTTCCTGAAGCGATGGGTCTGGATAGCACAGCACAGCACCCACTACCCATGCACTAATCTTTATTTTACTTTCATTTTATACTTAGAAAAGGAACTGAATTTAGGATTAAAGAGGAGGGTTTAAAAGCAGTCAAAAAATACCATTTAATTAAATGTAGATTGGCACTTGATAAAAATACGTCTCCCCCAGTGCTGAACAGGCATTCCGAATAAATATCATGTCCTCACCTCCCTCCCTCCCATCTTTGCCGCATTTCCTACTCCAGCTCCCCTGACCTTGTCTCAATTCCTGCTGAAGTTTTCTGTTTAGAATGCCTTTTTCTGCCACCCCAGCTCAGTTGCTCACTCCACTCTTTAATTCATATCTTATCTTTATTGATGCACCTTGTTTCATTTCTTTCTTGGTCATTGTCACAATATATACTTATCTTTTGTGTACTTGTTAAGTATTTGCCTCCCCCATTGGACTTGAGGCTTCATGAGTACAGGAGCCATAGGTGTTTGTTTACCGTTACACATCCGGAACGTGCACCCACGGAGTAAGTGTTGAATGAATGAGGGAGGGAGGGGATGAGTGCGAGTTCCACCATCAGTAAGGGGAATGCTGTGAATTAGAGAGACGTAATGACTCCCACCTGCCCTTCTCCGCTCTGGGGAGTTTAAGCTGTGGATAGCATTCGTTTAAACCCATACTTATTTTCTTGGTTCTGAAAATACTTTGTATACTAACTAGGGCTCATCCGTTCTTCTATCTTGGAAACAGCTCTACTACTAATAAAGGTTTGTTTTAAAACAGATGGACAGAAAAAGATCTTTGTCTCAGTCACTCAATTGTTTTTTGTTTGTTTGTTTTTAATGTACAGGGATACATAACTTACATAATTAATATTTATCCAAAGAGAGTAATGAATTGTTAAATCGCTTGCCCTTTGCATGCCTGGTAGTAAAGTGTTACAGTAAATTATAAAGTAGTAAAGGTATTCAAAAAGTAGTATGACTGTTTTTAAAAAGGACTCTCAGTACCAAAGTACTTTAATTTTTTTTCAAAGAGGCAGTCTAAATGTTTACATCTACCAGCCCCCCTCTTATGTTCTAGGGTAGGAATTCTCACACCCCCATCTCCTCCTCTGGAAACCACCTTGCCTCCGCCGTCTCCTACACCCTTGCTGTCTTACATCCAGGCAGTCAGCAAACACCGCCATTTCTGCCTCAAAAATCTTTCCAATCTGGCATCTGCCACCTCAGTCACACTGCCAGGAGGATGCCACACCCTCATCCCTTGTCTAATTCTTGCACCTCCCACCTGCTCTGTTGTCAGCTTCTTCTAATTCCTATCCGGTGTCTTTCCTGCCTCCAGGGTAGTCCTGAATACAAATCAGATTAAGTTAGTCCTCTCCTTAAAAACTTCCCTCTTGGCTCCATGCCTGTGTGGCCCACAAAGCCCTTCACCGTTGGCCCCGACCTGCTTCTGCAGTGTCACCCCCTCCCATGCCCTTCACACAGGCTTCTCCCCTGCCGTTGCTGTGTGCGTGCCCCCCTCACTGACCATGCCCCTGCAGTGCTCCAGGCCTTCCATCTTACTCGTCTTTTCTGCCAGCAAGCTCCTACCCGTTCCTGGAGACTCAGTACAGAGATGGCCTCTGATGTGAGGTCCACCTGCTCTGACTCCCCTGGCCTAGACGGAATTCCATTTCTCCCATGGTCTTGATCCATATTTATCAGGAGAGATTATAATTGATCTGTGAACCTCCTGGAAGAAGAGACTATTACAAGGATAGTTAAGAGCAGAATTGCTAGTAGTATGTGAGCTGTATAAAAAGACTGGCTGAAGAAAACTTTGTATTGGGTCTTCGGAAAAGCCATGATGTATTTTGTCTATGTTTTTCAAAGGTCATTTATTTATATTAAAGAGCAAAGATCAATCAATAGTATATTGCCCGTTTGGTTCGATAACCTTTTGCCATCTTTCAGTGAGCTTCATAATTCCTCGTTCATAGAAGGAGCTGTCTTTATTTGTGAAAAACTGAACAAGGTGCTGATTTACAGCCTCATCTGAATTGAACGTTATACCACGCAAGGAGTTTTGAAGAGAGCAAAACAAGTAGAAGTCTGACAGCGCAAGGTCAGGGGATTATGGTGGGTGTGGCAACACATCCCATCCAAGCTCCAATAATTTTTGACGGGTGATCAGACTTGTGTGTGGTTTCATGTTGTCGCGATGGAACACAACTCCTTTACAATTAACAACCTCTGGACATTTCTGGATGATGGATTCGTTCAAACTGTCCAGTTGCCGACAGTACACATTCGAATTGATTGTTTGGTTCCTTGGTAGGAGCTCAAAAAACACGACACCTTTAAAATCCCACCACACTGACAGTATAACCTTTCTCTGATGAATGTCTGCTTTTTTTGTCGTTTGAGGCGAATCATCACGTCGGGACCAAGATTGTTTGCACACCACATTGTTATAAACAATCCTCTTCTCATCACCAGTTATCAGTTGCTACAAAAAAGGATTGTTTCCCTCACATTTAATGAGCATTTTGCAGATGTTTATACACACCATCAAATGAACTTGAGTTCATGCAGAACCCAAATATCGAGCTTGCTTACATATCCCAGCTTCTTCAGGTGGTCGTGAACACTTGAATGATGGATGTTCAATGTTTCTGCAATCTCTCGTGTCATGTACTATGGGTTTGACTGGATCAATACCTTTATTTTGTCATCATCAACCTCTGCGCCTCCCTGACCGAGGAGTGTCGTTGAGATCAAAATCAGCAGCACGGAATTTTGTGAAACACCATTGGCACTGATGTTCTTGTAGAGCATTATCACTGTAAACTTTATGCAACTTTTCACAAGCTTGAGGCGTGTTCTTCCTTTTATGGAAGTACAACAGTAAAATGTGGCAAAAATGCACAGTATGGTCTTCCATCTTCAACTTGTTGTAAAATCTCCAAAACTCTACCAAATTGCTCAATTTTTTTTAAATGCAGCTAGAACTGTCAGCTGTCAAATGACATAGCAATCACATAGATGCAAATGACTAGTATTTCCAAAAATGAACTAGTGCCATCTGTCACAAACGTGTCATGACTTTTCCGAAGACCAATATTTACCCTCACAATGACCCCAGCAGCCATTTTCTTTAGTCTCCAGTTTCCTGGAGAAAAACGCATAATTGTCCTCATCTTGTTTTAAATTCATAAGCCCAAATTTAAAATACTATTCAACACTTCCGAAAACTCTCTCTCTAGTTCCTCATAGGATTATTTCGCCCTATCCTCAGTTTCTTCACCTGACACCCTCCCTCGCACCCATGACACTCAGGTCTCACTTGACTTTGCTTGTGTTTCTCAAACATGGCAGCCTTCATCCTGCCTTAGAAACTTTGCCCCGGCCGTTCCTCCTGCTTGGAACACCTTCTCACCTTTCCCCTCCTCAGAAGCGTCACTGTCACATCCTCCCGTTTACACCTCTGCTGAATATGGACCTTTATCTGCTTGTCGTTTATGTGTCTGTTGTTTTTACTTCTTATTTATCTCCTCTAGCTAGAAGGTAAGCTCCATGAGACGGGGAGCTTGTC